ATCCATTTACAGAAAAGGTAAACAAAGCCACCAGGCTACTAAGGGGAGGAGATAACCACTCAATATCACCGGAGGGAGGAACCAGCATGAAATCTTCGCCAGACCACATCATATCTCTTCCCTGCAGGAGAAAAGGGGGTATGCAGGCATACATTTTAGAAGAATACAAAAAGCTTTACTGAATTATAAAGAGATGGTCAGAGAACCCCTGAGTGATCCTTTTAGTTAAAGAGACATCGAAACCAAGCACTTTGAACTCTGTAAAGGATCAAAGCCACAGGAGTTGGTCAGCCCTTGCTGGAGAAGAGACTTGCTGAGAGACTCCTTTTTGACCAAATGACTCTAGTTTGTTAGATCAGGTTTTAGTCTTAAGAGGGTATATTTACGTTTGTTTCCCTGTCACCCTATCTTTATTATACTTGATATCACTTAAATCTATGCCTTTTTGATTAATAAACTTGCTTTACTTTTAATATAAACTAACACAGCGCTGTGACTGAAATAAAAGTGGTATATATATTAGGCAGGTATATATATTACAGCACATGAAAAGATGGGAGTTGCCTTACCCAAGTGTGTGTGTGTGTGTGGAGGGGGGGGTGTCAGTGTTAACGGGGCCAATTCAATCAAGGTGGAAGTGGCCTATTCCCAACAGCTGACAAGAAGGGGTGAATATCAACAGAGGGAAATTACTTTTTGTAGCGACCCAGCCACTCCCAGTCTTTATTCAGGCCTAATTTGATGGTGTCAAGTTTCCAAATTAATTCCAGTTCTGCAGTTTCCCGTTGAAGTCTGTTTTTGAAGTTTTTTTGTTGAAGAATGGCCACTTTTAAATCTGTTATAGAATGTCCAGGGAGATTGAAGTGCTCTCCTACTGGTTTTTTAATGTTACAATTCTTGATGTTTGATTTGTATCCATTTATTCTTTTGCATAGAAACTGTCTGGTTTGGCCAATGTACATGGAAGAGGGGCATTGCTGGCACATGAGGGCATATACCACATTGGTAGATGTGCAGGTGAACTAGCCCCTGAGGGTGTGGCTGATGTGGTTAGGTCCTACGATGGTGTCCCTTGAATAGATATGCAGACAGAGTTGGCAACGGGGTTTGTTGCAAAGATTGGCTCCTGGGTTAGTATTTTTGTTGTGTGGTGTGTAGTTGCTGGTGAGTATTTGCTTCAGGATGGGGGCTGCCTGTAAGCGAGGACTGGCCTGTCTCCCAAGGCCTGTGAGAGTGAGGGATCGTCCTTCAGGATAGGTTGTAGATCCTTGACGATGCGCTGGAGTCTGCGCTAGTTGGGGGCTGTAGGTGATTGCTAGTGGCATTCTGTTACTTTCTTTGTTGGGCCTGCCCTGTAGTAGGTGACTTCTGGGTACCCTTCTGGCTCTGTCAATCTGTTTTTTTACTTCCCCAGATGGGTATTGTAGTTTTAAGAACACTTGACAGAGATCCTGTAGGTGTTTGTCTCTGTCTGATGGATTGTAGAAAATGCGGTTGTATCTTAGGGCTTGGCTGTAGACAATGGATCATGTGATGTGGTCTGGATGAAAACTGGAGGCATGTAGGCAAGTATAGCAGTCAGTAGGTTTCGGTATAGGGTGGTGTTTATGTGACCATCGCTTATTTGCACTGTAGTGTCCAGGAAGTGGATCTCTTGGACTTCAATCTCCCTGGACACTCAACAACAGACTTAAAAGTCAAGGAATAACATGGCTACCCCTCTGAAACCTGTCTACAGGGGGACAGTGAAGGAGATGTTCAGGACTGGGGGTGGTGGTGTTGGGGTCACATTGCAAGGAGTAACCCAGGCTGGTGGAAGCCAGAGTGAGCTGTTGCACTGTAAGCATCCTGCTTGTACCAGGGCTCTGAGGCAAAGCAACACAGCAGACACCTAGGGTTACAGGGCAGGCAGTGACAACTCATCCCTGATGTGGGTGGAACTCCAAAGCACCACAATCGGTCATTGGAGACTGCGCCAAAAGCAATCTCAGTGGACTGCCCCAAATCTTTCAATGAAACCTTCCCGTCGTCCCTCTCCCACCAGACTCTCCCCGCTCACTAGAGCAACCATTCCCCAACCGCTTCCCCCTACAACTACCGCAGTGTTCCCCCAGTCCCCCATAACCTGGCTTGCCTACCCAATCCTGCCCAACCAACAGCAACACAGCTCCACTCCCTTTTCCTCATTCCGAGTCTCTCATTCCCCCAGCCCATTCCATGGCCACTCCCCAGAAGCTCCAGTCACAATCTCCCCTCTTCCTCACCCAACCCTCCTTAATTCTCCCTTACCTTCCTCCCACTACTCTCTCCCTCCCTGCACCAGCTCCCTATCATCGCCTCTCCCACTGCTCTCTGCCTGATCTCCTCCCAAGGATTCCTAAACAGGAACTTTGTATTGTCTCTTTCAACAGATGGGCCCATCTGACTGTCACAAGCTCAACACACTTGGGAAGTAATTATAGTAACGTGCCAGCTCTGCTATAGTTAAGGTTCAACATTTCTTTCTGTTTAGAGATCTACTATTCTAATTGCTCTAAACTCCACACGCCTACATCGATTGCCTAGAATTATGTTGCTTATCATGAGGGAGAAGGGCAGAGTTAGTTATCCTCCAGCAAGGCCTACCTCAATTACAAACAGTGAACCAAAGGCTGGGAAACCAGAGCAGGCCTAGCCTTGGCAAAGTAACACACTAGGTATTGGCTGACCAAGTAAGCACATTCCTGACTGGAGAGGATGGTACAAGAACACCCAGAGTTCCCAAGTAACCACATAAACACATTCTTGAGAGATGGTGCAAGAACACACCAACCCCTTGTAAGATAAGGATGGGATGACAGGATAATGGATGGGGATGTTTTGTTCCAACTAGCAGATACCAGGTGTAGCACTGATAACTAACCACGTCAGGAGTGTGATACGCAACTTGTTTCTATCAATGTATAAAAGTAGAAGTCATAGGAGGGGCACCTTTGGCCAGCCTAGGGGGCAATGTCCTGGTCCACTGACTGAGCTAGTACCATTGTTACAGGCTTACATAGGTTAGTGTTCCTGTAGCTCCTTCACCACTGAATCAAGCCTGTGGTCTTATGAACAACATCAAGGTCTGCTGAATGAACATGCAGCACTGTCTGCTATTGCAGCTAACATTGGCGCTCCAAGAACAGTACTTGTGCTCCAGCAGCAACCACAAACAAATGTGGGGTTATTTGATCAAGAGGTTCCCGAGATACTCCTCCACCCCCAAAAGCAGCTTTTTACAAACTCACCATGCTCTTATAACATTTCCTTGCACCAACCTGGGGCTAAAACTGTGGTTCTCATTGTCCTCCAACTGATCTCAGGCACTTGGTCTTTATCTCAGCTAGCACTGCCTCTTTGCGCAAGCAGTACTGAAAAAGGTTAATAACTAGAGTTTGGAATTTCAGATAAGCAAGAGCCAAACTGTAGAGTTAAAGAGACTGAAATGCACATGGACACCAAGACTAAAGCTCTTTAAGAGCCAGAGTGTTTCCAACAATCAGCTGTCACAGTAATTGTTTGGCTAGAGGCAGTATGCTGTTGCCACTGAAAATAAGCTACACCCATGCATTTGAGTATGAGCCCTACCAGAGACATCTTGCAGACAACATGTATTGTGCATCTTTCTTGGGTTCTGCCCTGATACGAACATTTCTGGGTTAAGAACAATATTTCAAAGTGCGCTAAAATCCACATGCCAAATTTGGCCTGGTCTGCATGTAAGAGATTTGCCAGCATGGTTCTGTTGGTTATGGGAGTGAAAAATCACATCCCCAGCCAACATAGCTATGGCAAAAAAAAGCTCTGTGTAGACACAGTTATAGTGGCAAAAAAGTCCATTAAAATAAATCAAGAAAATTAAAAACCCATAAACTACACGAATGCAGAGTTAAGGTTGTCCAGTGCTGTCTCATGCCCTCCCAGAACGTGGATGATGGCTAAACTTAAACCTCTGAAAACCAGGAAACGAAGAGTTAAAGTACGTCACCCCTGTAACACAACTTTAACTCTGCCCCTACCCCTAAGCCTAGAGCTTCAAGAGCCACTGAGAATAGTTCAGGAAGGGTGGTACAAATCTTAATAAACTACAAAGGGAAGTAGAGGGCCCTCTGTCTCGAAGTCCTCAGGCCAAGACTGGCTGCCTTTCAGGAAGATCATTTAGTCAGACACAAGGTATTCAGCTCAATACCATAGTAACTGGATGAAATTCTATGGTCTGTGTTACACAGGAGGTCAGACTATATAACCTAATAAGGACCCTCTGTCCTTAAAGTCCATTAATCTACAATAGATACGAGAAAGGACTGAGAGAACGTCATTGTTTGTGTTGTGCTCCAGAGAGTTGAACACCAGCATTTATCTGTATGTACTCCAGCTGTGTGCACTGTGTCAGCTGCAGCTGTAATTAAATGAGGGATTAGCTGGAGCCCTTGGCAGAGCTGTGACTGTGATATGAAGAGAGGTGCATGTGAATCTTGACAGACAAGTTTGCTGAATATTGTAGGTTGTGTCAGTAAAGGCACACAAACTGTGTTCTTGCCATGGGGATTGTCAGCAGTCTGGTACCATACATGTTAACTGTCACCCAGGCTTAGTGAGGAATAAGTGAAGACAATGACTCAGAAGGAATCCTGAGTGCAAGGGCAAAGGGATGGTAACTTTTTGCTAGTCTGAGATGCTTTGTGTGCAGTAGGCTCAGTGTTTAACTGTAGCCTGGGGTAGGTAGCTTCTGTCTGCTACAATGGAAATAAACCCAAGTTTTCCCTTAGCAAAGAGAAGATGTTAGACTTTGTGCTATCCTGTCATGTGCTCTGTTCCCAAAGTGTTCTGTAGTGGGGAGGGCAGAGCATTAGCATGTGTGTCACTGGCATGTCGGGCTGTTGCTGAAACAGGGCGGAGTTGAGGTTGCATTGTGGGGACGATGTGAACCTTAACTCTTCATTTCCCCTTCTAATATCTGAGGGGACAGGAATCCTTACCCAGTGAGGTCACGTTCTCATAGTTCTCCTGCATGACGTCTCTGTGGAGGGCTCTCTGAGCAGGGTCCAGCAGAGACCACTCCTCCTTGGTGAAATACACAGCAACCTCCTCGAATGTCACCGACCCCTGAAAGAGCAAGAGCCCCCCACTCAGTACCTGCTGCCCCAGAGGCAGTCCTACTAGTTATGGGGGAGCAGGGCCAGGAAAATGGAAGCTCTGGGTGGTACAGACACCACAGTCCCCACCCCCAACCTGCTCAGAGAAGCCAGAAGGCATCAGAGTGAGGAGAGAAAGAGAGAGCCCCTCATCCCTCCCAGCACACAGAGGGGGTAGGATCTTCACATTCATCACATACCTACTAGCCATAGCATCAGGAGATGGATCCTGCTGGAGGCTCTAAGGACAGCCCTATGGTAAGAATCCCAACATCCTCCCCATTGGCAGCAGCTGGATATGGGGGATGGGGCATCTCCCCTTAGCCTCACTGGTGGGTGCTGACTTCATCTCTCTTAACAGCCTATGGCTGGTAGGTTCATGCTCCAGCACTCGAAATCTGGTAAGTTTTCCCAGCCCTGTCCAGGGGGTTGTTTCCTGTTTCACAAAAGAGATAATTTCCACCCCTGGCCCCCATGGGTCTGTTTCTAGAATATAGGCCCAGGGTAAACTAGTCCCAGCAGGTTTGTCACACCTTATCCCCATTCCTTTCTATACCCGGGGAATTTCCTGGCCCCTGCAACCTCTACATCAAACCCCCAAGAATTTCCCACCTCCTAAATATTTACTGTCTCTCTTCCTCCAGTATCTCCCTGACAATCCCTACCTGGACTGGCTCGACAGCAGCCATTTCTTTTCCCTGTTCCATGGGAGGATGAGACGATCTGGAGGAAAACATAGATGTTACTCTGCAGCCTGTCAGGCAAAGAAGGGCAACTAGGGAGATCCAGAACCAGCTTTAGTTAATTTCACATCAAGTTCTCCTCCATCCCCCCCAGGCTCTCTCCTTGTAGACAGATGTTCTAGACTCTGCCATGCACAAGTGGCTTTTGACAGTCTCATGTGACATTCTTAGAAGAAAATGAGGGAAATGTGAAATTACTATAAGGTGGGTGCAAAACTAGTTGAAAGACCGTACTCGAGTTATTATCAATGGTTTGCTGCCAAATTAGAAGTTCATATCTAGTGGGGTCCCCCACAGGCATCTGTCCTGGGTGTGGAACTATTCAGTATTTTCATTGAAGACTTAGATAAGGGAGTGGTGAGTCTTATTATAAAATTTGTGGATGACACCAAGCTGGGAGGGGTTGCAAACAATTCAGAGGATGGGATTAGAATTCAAAATGACCTTTACAAATTATTGAATTTTTTTAAAATTAACAACACGAATTTCAGTAAAGACTCACGCAAAGTACTACTTTTAGGAAGGAAAAATCAAGTAATAACAACTGGCTAGACAGTAGTCCTGCTGAAAAGGATTTGAAAGTCATAATGGATCATAAACTGAATGAGTCAATGTGATGAAGTTGCAAAAAAGGCTAATATTCTGTAGTGTGCCTACTGGATGGAGTCTCATGTGTAAGACACCAGAGGTAATGTCCCAGTTCATTCAGCACTGGTGAGACTTCAGCTAGAGTACTGTGTCCAATTATGGGTGCCACACATACAAATGTTATGAACAAACTGGAGAGAGTCCAAAGGAGAACAACAAAAATGTTCAAAGTTTTAGAAAACCTGACTTATGGGGAAAGGTTAATTAACTGGGCATGTTTAGTCTTGAGAAAAGACAGCTGAAATGGGATGAAATAGTCTTCAAATATCTAAGTGGCTGCTTCTGCATTGGTGGCTCTAGTCACCAACTGGATATAGACAGTCACTCACACCGAGGTTATGGCTGTTTATTGTCTTCCCCAAGGAAAAAAGTGTACAAAAAGAAACACCAACAATAATCTGGTCAGAGGCTTAGACTGGGGCCCTCTGGCCCCCGTAGCTTTCTGATCCAGGAGAGGAGGGGTCTTCACAGGGCTGGCTGATCGGCCAGCCACTTTGATTATCACAGCGTATCCTCTCCCTTGGCTGCCCCCCTCTCCACAGAGCTGAGCTCACCTTTATATTCCATCTGAGAGTGGGAGACAATCATGAGGTGCTGGTCAGCTTTGTCAGCAGATGCCCAGCACCTGTCTGTTGGCCTTCTCTCTGGGGCAGAGGCAGCTGCTCCCTCTTTCTCTCATCTCCCCTGGGCTATTGCAGGACCAGCTCAGCCTGTTATTCTGCTTTAAAGAGGATGGTGATTCTCAAGGTTCCCTCCCCACTCTGAACTCTAGGGTACAGATGTGGGGACCCACATGAAATACCCCCAAGCTTATTTTTATCAGCTTAGGTTAAAAACTTTTCCAAGGTACAAACTTTGCCTTGTTCTTGAAAAGTATGCTGCCACCACCAAGTGATTTAGAGAAAGAATAGGGAAAGGACCACCATAGCACAGCATGGTCGGTTTGCAGGTGGAAACACCGTCCCCAAACGTATAGGCGTAGCTTTTCCAGAGTGCAGACAATGGCTTAATATTCCTTTTCACTGATTGACCAGTGGCTTTCCCTCTCAGACAGCTTCTTGCTGAGAAACACGACAGGACGGAATTCTTGATTCGGTCCTTCCTGCATTAAAACTGCTCCCACACCATGCTGGGACGCATCTGTGGTTACTAGGAACGGTTTGTCAAAGTCTGTGGCCCTTAGCACAGGGTCAGACATGAGTGTCACTTTAAGCTAGTTAAAGGCCTTCTGACACTCTTCAGTCTACTGAACTGCATTTGGCTATTTCTTTTTGGTTAGGTCTGTCAGTGGGGTGGCGATTTGGCTGTATTGCGGTACAAAAAGCTTGTAATATCCGGCCAAGCCTAAGAAGGATTGGACCTGTTTCTTTGACTTTGGGACAGGCCACTTTTGGATAGCATCCACTTTGGCCTGTAGTGGGTTGATAGTTCCTTGACCCACCTGGTGTCCAAGGTAAGTCACTCTGTTTAGGCCTATTTGACACTTCTTAGCCTTAACAGTTAGTCCTACCTCCCTTATGCGCTCGAAGACTTTTTGTAGATGTTCCAGGTGTTCTGCCCAGGAATCCGAAAATATGGCCACATCATCAAGGTAGGCAACTGCATATTCTCCCAATCCTTCTAGGAGACCGTCTACAAGTTTTTGGAAGGTGGCAGGTGCATTCCGCAGCCCAAAAGCGAGCACATTAAATTCATACAGCCCGACATGTGTGATGAAGGCTGACCTTTCCTTGGCAGATTCATCTAGCGGTACCTGCCAGTACCCCTTGGTTAAGTCCAAGGTAGAGATGAACTGGGCCCGTCCCAGTTTCTCCAATAGTTCATCTGTGCGTGGTATTGGATAGTTGTCTGGGTGAGTTACAGCATTTAGCTTACGGTAGTCCATGCAAAAAAGTATCTCCCCATCTGGTTTGGGAACTAGAATCACTGGAGATGCCCACACACTGCCAGAGGGCCGGATTACACCCATCGGTAGCATATCCTGGATCTCCCGTTCTATAGCAGTTTTAGCTTGAGGAGACACCCAGTAACGTTGGGCTCTAATTGGGTGAACATTACCTGTGTCAATGGAGTGGTATGCCCATTCAGTCAGTCCTGGGGTGGCTGAGAACATCGGCGTATAGCTAGGGCACAGCTCCTTGATCTGCTGTCGCTGAATACGCCCAAGGGTCATGGAGAGGTTCACCTCTTCCATGCCACCAGCACTTTTCCCTTCGTAGTAGACACCTTCAGGCCACCAGTGAAGCACTGGATTCAGCGCTGGCAATGGGTCTGGTGCTGGTTGTTCCGCTAGTTCCGGTTCTGGGACTGGTTCCGTCTGGGTCTCTGGGACTGGATCCACTACTGCTGTTGCAGACGTTGGCCTGGGGTCCGGTTCCATCACCTCTGACTGGGTCCTGGTAGAAGTCTCCGGAACAGAGCTAGGTGTCACAGCTTGCTTAGCCTGGCTGCAGGTGACCATTCCCACCCTCTTGGCTAGCTTTATATGGTTGGCCAAGTCTTCCCCCAACAGCATGGGGAAGGGATAATCATCATAGACTGCAAAAGTCCATGTTCCTGACCAGCAACTTGGCTGTAAGCAAGTCAAATGAGTTTGACTTGAAGGGTTGAATTGTCACTTGGACCTCTGGGTCAAATAAATTGGGGTCCACTAAGGAAGCATGGATAGCCGACACTTGTCCCTCCATGCTGTAACCTTCTTCCTACCCACACTCACAGATTCCCTCCACTCGGAGGGTATCTGGGAGGCATCTGGGCCTGAGGACCTCTGGTGTAATTGTGGTGCAATGAACTGTAATCTATTGGGGTTCTTGGGGCAGTTGGCCTTTACATGCCCCGGCTCGTTACATTAAAAACATCACCCAGCTGACTGGTCACTGGGGCAAGGTGGGTTGCTGGAGAATGGTGTGGAGGGATGATAAGGTGTCTGGGGTTTTTCTTGGGGTGTAGTCAGGGCTTTGGGTTGCCCCCAGTAGTAGGGCAATGTTTGGGACCGGGTATCTCCCCTGGCCTTGCCTGCCGCCCCTGTGCACCACCCCCAAGTGTCCCACTGCTCCCATGCGCCTCCCCCCTGCCGCTCCACCCTGCCTCTGCTCCGCTGACTCCGGGCATCAACTGCAGCCACAGGGTCCTAGTGACCCTCATCCACTAGTGCCAGGGCAGGCTGCCTTGACCCTTCCCTTTTCCAGTGGGACCCTCCACCAGCAGAGGGGGCCTCCCTGCCCGCAGTCATGGCTCCTGCCCCAAGCTGGAGAAAGGGCCCATTTCCCACCCCTTGGTGAGGCTACAGTGAGGAGGGAAGGAGGCCAAACGTGATGTCAGCCCACCCCCCCCCCCAGCACCCACTGCAGGGAAGGCTAGGGGGCTTCGTGGACCTGAGGGACCCTAGGTGCATGTGCAGCAACACTGGTGTGAGGTGAGCGTGCTGCTGGGTGGGAGAGGGGGGCCCCTCCCCCAGAGCTTGCTGCTGCCGGCAGGGGGAGTCCTCTCTTGCCCCAGCCTCGGGGCAGCCTGCCTGCACCCCAAACTCCTCATCCCCCGCCTCACCCCAGAGCCCTCACCCTCAGCACCCCAACCCTCTGCCCTAGCCCTCACCCCCCACATCCCTGCCCTCTGCCCTAGCCCTGAGCCCCCCCCCAAACCACTCATTCCCAGCCAGAGCCCTCCCCCCTGCATCCCAACTCCCTGCCCTAGCCCCTCCCACAGCCCAAACCTCTCATCACCAGCCCCACCCCAGAACCCTCACATTTTTAGATTATTTCAAAATATATATATATATATATATATATTACAAGCAGGTGTGTGTGTGTGGGGGGGGAGACTTGGACCTTTTCTGGGCATCAACAAAAATTATACAAACCTGCCGCCTCTGCCCACAGGGAGGGTGCAGATCTTATTTGCCTCCATGTTAATCTGGAATTACTCCTTGTCCTTCCTTGCAGTGACTCTAGATTAATATTGGTCTCAATGAGACCAGGAACAAAGCTCAGAAGGGAGGAGGCCAGAACCCTTTTAGGCAGATCACTGTGTGGGGCCTGTGGAGGGCTAGCTATAGTACCCTTGTCTTTCAGGTAATTGCCTCACAGAGAAAATTACTGGCTTGCCCTGAGACAATTAACCTGTTATAGTGAGATCATTAAAATAGCGGGGCAAAGATTGGGCTAATGAGGTGATTAGCAAAATAAAAGGAAGACTATATAATTAGGAAGAACAGGATGTACCAGGAAGCTCAGTGAGAGTGGGGTGTAATAGAGTGGGCTGGGTGGAAGGCTCCTCCTGGCACATGCTGGTACTATGTTCTGCAGTGCTGGGAATATAAAGATTAAAGATCCCCATAGGGAAAAGAAACAGCCTGTGTGTTTATTGCAAGAGACAATCCAAATGGGTCAGGCAGTGCAGCACAGCGCATAGCTAACAGAGCGCCCTGTGACACAGGGCAACCCCTTTCCCACCTTCCTCCCTCCGCATCGGAGAGAAGGACTCTGAACACCAGTTTTCCATCCAAAACCACATGTTCTTGCAGTTTTCACAGAGGGAGAGAAGCAAAATCTGTGGTAATTTCACATTAGTGTTTGGTAAATGGATAGAAAGTTACCAGCCCCTGCCCGCCGGCCATTCACACATGCAGCTGGGAGCCCTGGGTAATGCTTCCTTAACAGAAGGATGGCACGGAGGAGCCAAAATATTTAAGACATTTCCTTGGCCTGTCCCTGGAAAATAATGGCCACTGACCCACCCCAGAGGTGGCTGCACCTCAGAGCTGGGGGAAGCAATCCCACATGGGGGATGGGGATACTTCTGGTCACAGAGTCAGTCAGCTGGCTCTGGGGCCAGCTCCACTGGCTGCTCATGGAGCAGCTCTGCAGCCAGCCGATCCAGCAGCCCCGCAGCCAGCTGCACCGGCCACTGCTCAGACGGCCCCAGGCACGTAGCCCTGGGGACCACCCGAGCAGCAGCCAGTGGAGCTGGCCCCAAAGACAACCTGAGCAGTGGTCCCCAGGTAGCCAGTGCAGCTGCTGCCGGCGGCAATTCCCCAGGCGGCTGGAGTAGGCACTTCCCCAGGCAGCCCCCCCGGCAGCTTTGCCCAGGCGGCTGGTGCAGCCGCTGCCAGCAGCGGTGCCCAGGAGACTGGAGTAGCTACTTCCCCGGATGGCCAGCGCAGCTGCTGCTGCCGGTGGCCCCTGGCAGCAGGTGCTATGGCTGGCCCTGGCCCTCACCAGCAATAGCCCCCAGGGTGACCGTCCCCCAGCAGCGGCCCCCTGGGATGCCTCCCCCAGGGTGACCGTCTCCCAGCAGCAGCCCCAGCACTCCTCCAGACACCCCCCCCCCCCAGCAGCAGCCCCAGGCCTAGCAGCAACCCCCTTAAGATTTTGTCACAGGTATTTTTAGTAATAGTCATGGCAGGTCAGGGGCCCATGAATGTGTGTGTATAGCCCAAGACCTGTCCAAGACTTTTACTAAAAATACCTGTGACTAAATCGTAGCCTGATTGACAAATAGTGGAAATGGCTGACTCTGAGATTTGATATCAGTGTTCAGTAATTAAAGAGAAAGGGTGGAAATCTGAGGAATTTTGGATCAATCTTCATAAGTTAGAGAGGAAAGTAGGAGAATGTGAGGTTTTTATATCAACAGTTGATAATAGAGATAAAATCTGAGTGAATTTCTTATCAATATTTGATAAAGAGAGAGAACAGGGGAAACATTTCCAGGGATTTTATATCAATAATCAAGAATGAGAAGAAAGGGCAAAAACTGAGATTTTATGTTAACATTTTGTAATTAGAAACAAGGGATAATCTCCAAGCATAATACATTAGCAATAGAGAATTAGAGAGAAAATGGGGCAGAGTTTAGGGTACTTTTTTATCTCAGTCCTTGAGAATTGGGGAGGAAAAGGGTTAAAAACAAAATATCTGACAATAGAAGAGGAAAGCACCAAGCTCTGGGGGATATTTAATAATTAGAGGGAAAGTTTGAGAGGACTGTGTATGGAAGTTCAATAACCACAGAAAAAGTGCATCCGATGAAGTGAGCTGTAGCTCAGGAAAGCTTATGCTCAAATAAATCTATTAGTCTCTAAGGTGCCACAAGTCCTCCTTTTCTTTTCACAGAAAAAGTAGTTTCCCGCCACCATTCACCTGGGCAGCAGACAGCCCTTTGCAAAGCTGCTTTGGAGATGTATGTGGAGCAGGCAGGCTCCTGGCCCTGGGGAGGGGGCAGAGACAGGGGAAGGTGCATTGGGTGGATGAGGGGGAGGGGCAGCAGCTGGGAGCCGATACTTCAGTAGAGAAACTTGCTCCTGCCTCCCATTGCTGTGTCCCTTCCAAGCCCTGTTAATGGCAAAAAATGGCCACCCTCTCCCCACCCCTGAGGCAGCGTGTCTCAGGCTCTCCCACCGCTACCCACCAACCCCCCTCCCATTTGGGGAATGACTCAGGGCAACAATTTCCCACCTAAGCGAGGGCAAAGGGCCGCAGATAAAATGGGTGGGGATATGGCCCAACTCGGATGAGAATTTAAACGGACGTTTGAAGAGGAGAGAGAAAATGGGGCAAAATCGGCCAAAGGTCAGAGGCGCGAGAGCAGGGGGTCTGCCTGGAGCCCTTCCCCCACCACCTGCCCTTCTCCCCGGGCACGGCCTGCCTGCGGCCAGAGCTCAGTCCACTCCGTTGCGCCCTCTCTCCCCCTTCCCCTCAACGCTGCTTATTTTCCTCTCCCCTCACCCCGCGGGGCCCGCTCTCTTTCCCCGCCCCGCTCCGCCCCACTTTAAGGGCCCTGCGGATCCGAGCTGGGTGCAAAGCCAGGGCAGTGGCTTCACTGAGGCTAACCCAGCTCCGACCTTGCCCGCGGGGGCACGAACACTTACCGGGCCGCGAGCTCCCAGAGCCAGGCACTCACCCACCTGCCACTCCCAGCGCTGTCCCCGAGGCCTCTCCGCTGGAGTCTCCGGCTCAGGGGCTGGCGTCGGCAGAGCCCGAGGAGAGTTCCCGCTGGAGAAACGCCAGGCTGGGGCACAGGAGGCTTTAATGCAGGTCCCCGACCCGGGGAAGCAGCAGCGGCTTAGCCCAGGCTCCCAGATCACACGGAAGCAGCAGCGTCCTGGGCAGAGCTACGCAGTATCGAGCTGTCTTTGTCCTCTCCGGCTCCTGCTCTCAGCTGCTGCAGCCCCTTCCTATGCCCTCAGCACCAGCCCGGATGTAGCAGCGCTGACTGGGCCAGGGGGTTCTCTCCGGCTGGAGGCCCAAGACAAGAAAAAGGGCACCGTTAAGGAGACCACGGAGGAGGGTCTAAGCTGCAAGCAGCCATGAACTATAAAACTACGTCTCTAGGTGCCTATCTTTAAATTAATGTATATGCTCGGTTGTGAATTAAGGTTGAAATATACAGTCATATGCTATACCAGAGGTGGGCAAACTACGGCCCGCGGGCCACATCCGGCCCGGCTCCTGGCCGGGGAGGCTAGCCCCCTGCCCCTCCCGCGCTGTCCCCACTCCCGGCAGCCTCACTTGGCCCCCGGCGCAATGCTCTGGGCGGCGGGCTGTGAGCTCCTGGGGCAGCGCAGCCGCAGATCCTGGCCTGTGCTCTGTGCTGCGCGGCGGCGCCGGCTCTAGCGCCGCCGGCCACTGGTGTTCCGGACAGCGCGAGCAGGGGGCAGGGAACGGGGGGTTGGATAGAGGGCAGAGGAGTTCGGAGGGGTGCTCGGAGGGCGGGGATGTGGATAGGGGTCGGGGCGGGAACAGGGGGTTGAATAGGGGCAGGGGTCCTGGGAGGCAGTCAGGAAGGGGGGGGGTTGGATGGGGCGGAGGTTCCGGGGGCAGTCAAGGGACAGGGAGAAGGGGTGATTGGATGGGGCAGGAGTCCCAGGGGGGCAGTCAGGAAGGAGAGGGGGGTTGGATGGGGCAGTTGGGGCGGAGGTCCGGGGCGGTCAGGGGACAGGGAGCCGGGGTGTATGGATGGGGCGCTCTGGGGGTCCGTCAGGGAACGGGGGGGTTGGATGAGGCAGGAGTCCGGGGGGGGGGGGGGCCATGACCCCCTCCCCTAACCAGCCCTCCATACAATTTCTGAAACCCGATGCAGCCCTCGGGCCAAAAAGTTTGCTCGCTCCTGATCTATACTGTATCTTATCATAAAATTCTTCTAAAAAGCCTGTCAGGGGTAAGCATACTTCAGAGTTAGACCTTACAGCAGGGGTTCTCAAACTGGGGGTTGCAAAATTATTACATGGGGGGGACATGAGCTGTCAGCCTCCACCCCAAACCCTGCTTTGCCCCCAGCATTTATAATGGTGTTAAATATAGAAAAAAGTGTTTTTAATTTATGGGGGGGGGTTGCACTCAGAGGCTTGCTATGTGACAGGGGTCACCAGTACAAAAGTTTGAGAACCAGCACCTTGCAGCGATCCCACCCGTCAGAATGAGCTACCCATGGGAGAAAGCTGGGAGAGCAGCTCATTCTGATAGCAAAGCAAACAAACCCTGATACTAGGGCTGTCAATTAATCCCAGTTAACTCACACGATTAGCTAAAAAAAATTAATCGTGTGGTTGTAAGCACCACTCCGGAGCCTGGTGGCACCGCCACAGTGCCATCCAGGACCGGCTGGTGAAAGACATCTGGCCATCCCTGGGAAAGATCGCCATTGACTCTGCCATCCCTGGAACGGACAGCCAACTGCAACCCGACATCGTCATGACCGATGAGGAAAATAGAAGGTCCTCATGGTGGACATCACGGTGCCATTTGAAAACAGGTCCCTGGCCTTCCATGAGGCCCGAGCTCAGAAGGTGTTGAAATACACCCCGCTGGCTGACACCCTAAGAAACCAGGGCTACGAAATCCAGATCCACGCCCTGGTCATGGGAGTTTTGGGCGTGTGGGACCCTCACAATGAGCCAGTGCTGAAAGCATGCAGAGTCAGTCAGCGCTATGCCTGGCTCATGAGACAGCTCATGGTGTCCGACACCATCAGGTGGTCCAGAGACATTTACACGGAGAACATCACGGGACGCCGTCAGTACTAGGAGGAGTAAATAAGACCGCCGGTCAGGGAAATAACTCACTTCCTCCCCTGACAAACCAAGAGATGCACCCCACCCATGTACCTATTCACTATACCAACCCTGACTTGGACTCTAAATATATTTAATGGGTGGCATACCTGAGATCACTTATTCACTGACTCTTTAAAAACTCCCACACCCCAATCTGGGTCTATGCTGGTTATTTACTATGTATGTATCTTGTGAACCTTGTAACTGATACTTGTAATCTCTCATAACTCAAGCCTGACCCCAGGTGTCCAGTACCTTCCCTCTTAACAAATGTAAATTTTGATTTTAAACATTACCTTTAATAAAATTTTTAAATCTGTTCTTATCAATTTAATTACTGAGGCAGAAACTACACATTCTAGAAGACTCACTGTGTCCCTATCTTGAGGAAGACTACCACTTTGGAGATGGATTCTACTGCTGCTGCTTCGAAAGAAAATCTTCATGCTGCTTCAGAGACTCCAGGACAGACTGAAAAGATGATTGCTCCCTTGCCGATTCCACAGAAACCTTCAACTGCCGCTTGGACCGCTGCTGCTCCACAGAATGCCCATCCAGGAACAGCCTCTAAGAAGACCCTCCACGCTTCCAGGACATCGCAGATGAGCAGCATCGATTGAAAAAGCAGCATCTCCTTGAAGAAAACCCGTGGAGATACTGCTGCAGGAAGATCTTGCACCTCGAGGACGGCCTTCCGGGACATCACAGCCAGGACAAACATCATCTCACCTGCTCTTCAGGACAAGGATGCCCCAAGAACTTATCCCATCTCCTCCACTGCCCAGGATCCTCATGCTGGTCATTGTCCTGCTGTGCTGGAAGGTACCTCAACTGGGAAGACCAGCGTCTCCTCAGAAACCACCCAGATGGACTGCAACATCTCACTAGATGCCTGCCCAGCCGAACCTCTCCATACTACTCTCCCAGAGCAACCAGAACCATCTAGTGAATCCGCTGATATGACTGAAGCCAATCCAACAGAGGGAGAAGGAAAGGAGAATGATTGCATCTATCTCCAGTATCCCCTCCCTACAGACATGCTCCTCTGCCCCTTCTGCTATCCAGGCGGAGGATTTCAGTACATTGGCAATCTCAGCAGACACCTCAAGAGAATCCATAGCAAGCGGATCACCTTTCGATGTGCCCTCTGTGACCTGCCTTTCGAGATGCAGAAGAAGTGTAAGTCTCATCAAGTCACCTTCAAAGGACATCTTGAACTGGAAGAGTTCAGCTCTACCAGTCTATATTGCCGCCACCCCATCTCTACTCTGAAAGCAGAAACACCACCTGCTCCAGCTCCGGCTTCCAACTCCCCAAACACGCCGGCTACTGCATCCCAGCCAACTCCCACAGAGCCACATCATGAAAAAGAAAGAGAACGTGCTTCCTCAAAAATCCCTAACGTGGATACTGCCAAGAGGAGGATCAGCACTCCCTTGCAGCTTATGTAAGGCAACTCCATCTCCAGACGGCTTGGTGCTTCCTCGCAGTACGTCCATCACAACGCTATTGTCAGAAGGGTCAGCACCCCTCCACAGGTAACTTCACAGGATCCTGTAGTCGGAAGAGCTAGCACTACGTCACAGGCCACCCACCCGCTGCCTCTAAAACTGTCCTTCCTAAAAGGACCAGTGCTGCCCTAAAATCCATAAGGGAAGATGCTGCCCTTGTTCTGGAAGATCCGGCCAAATGCAGTTCTCAACACCAGGAGGGAAAAAAGCAACAGGCTAATCCCACAGCAGTTTTCCATCTTGAGCCTGCGGAGATTTGAGCAGCCGGAAGAGCAACAGCCCATGGTGAGGGCCGCCACACCATGGCAAGCCGCTTGGATGGAGGAGTTAGTGAAGACAGCCTCCTTCGAGGACTTTGACCGCTTTGTAGACAAACACAATTTCTGCAGAAAGATCTTTAGTGAATCTGGGAGGTAGGGAACTCAGGAGAACACACCGACTGCGCACAGAGCTCCTGCATCCAGACAGACCCACAACAACACGAGGGAAGCCAGGAGAAGAACATCAGTCGCCGCTGTGACCCAGCAGCAGCATCCAGGAGCTCTAGCAGTCAAGCCACCCTAAAGCTATGAAAGAGATCCTTAGGGGGCCCTCATCCTGCTGCGCAATCCTGACCAAGAGACTATTCTTGTACTTTAAGGGGGTTTTTGACCATGTAGCTCAGAACGACGCAAAGTGTCCAGAGTGCCTTCATCCTTTACCCCGGGTTGACTATGCAGAGGACCTGGAACAAGACTTTACATCACAGGAAGTAGTGACCAGACTCACAAAGACCAAAAACACAGCCCCAGGAAAAGATGGCATTCATTACAACTTCCTGAAAAAATGAGACCCTGGTTGCCTGGTACTAACTGCCATTTTCAACAAATGCAAACGGTTCCGCCATACTGCCAGCTTCTGGAAGAAGTTGATGACAGTGCTCGTCTACAAGAAAGGCGAGTGAGACGACCCCAACAACTGGAGACCCATCTCTCTGTTCCACCATGTATAAACTGTATGCCAGCTGCCTTGCGGCTAGGATCACAGACTGATTGGTGAACGGAGGATCCATCAGCTCCATCCAGAAAGGCTTCATGTCATGCGAAGGCTGCTGTGAACACAACTTTGTTCTTCAGACTGCCATAGCATGGCTTGACCTGGCTAATGCTTTTGGATCGATGCCCCACCAGCACATTTTTGACATGCTGCGAGAGTTCAGGATACCTGAAAACTTTCTCCAAGTGGTCCAGGAACTGTATGAAGGCTGCACCACCACTACCCGCTCCATGGAAGGAGAGACACCTGAAATTCCTATCCGTAGCTGCACCCTGAGCCAATCATTTTTAACTTAGCCATGGAGCTGCCCATTCAAGCGATCTCCAGAGGTATAGGCGGTTTCGAGCTATACGGCAACAGAGTGAATATCCTGGCCTATGCAGACGATCTGGTCCTGATTGCAGCCAACCCTGAGAGGCTCCAACAAATGCTTGACATCACCAGCCAGGCTGCCAATTGGATTGGACTCCGTTTCAATGCCAGGAAGTGTGCATCCCTGCATATCGATGGCAGTAGAAGGGATTCGGTCCAGGAGAAACCATTTCAGATCCAGGGTGAACCCATGATCTTCCTCGAAGATGGGCAAGCATACCAACATCTTGGCACGCCAAGGGGTTTCCATGTCCAGCTGACACCTGAGGATACCATCACGGAGATCCTATGAGATGTGGCCAGGAGCGACTCCTCTCTACTGGCACCGTGGCAGAAGATTGATGCCTTGAATACCTCCCTGATGCCCCGTATCTCATTCTCCTAAGGTTATCTGCCATGGCGAAGGTACCTCTGAACAAGGCAGACAGCACCATCTGGCAGCTGGTGAAGAAGTGAATGTTTCTTCCTCAGAGAGCCAGCAATGTATTGGTGTACATCTCGCAAATGCATGGTGGCGCCAACATCCCTCTAACAGGTGATCTGTGCAACGTTACCATGATCACTCACACCTTCCACCTTCTGACGTGCCCGGATGCCATGGTGAGGAACATCACGGAGAGTGCTCTGCAGGATGCCATCAAGAAGCGAATCACCAGGACCCCTTCCAACCAATATGTCCTCACCTACCTGAGCGGCTTGCTGGAAGGTGAATTTGGAAGAGACGGGAGACTTTGCTTCACTCTGGACTCGTGCCTGCAATGCTACACGACTGGACTGGACTACATGAGTGGCTGCCACTGGACGTGGTGCAATGAACTCCAGGAGCTTGGAGACCTGGTGCCACAGGTGAAGAATACAGATCACACTATCATCACTCCAAGAGCTAGACCCATGCTGGAGAGGACCCTGAAGGATGCCACCTGCTGCCAATACGTGGAAAACCTGAAAAGGAAGCTGGACCAGGGCAAGGCATTTGAGGTGATGTGCAAGTGTGATGTCAGCAACCACTTCCTCCCCGAGGGCAGCTTCACCCAATTTGCTGACTGGAGGTTCATCCACAGGGCCCAGCTCAACTGCGTGCCACTGAACAGAGCCGTCTGCCACGGGAATCAGGACTAGTGATCCAGGAAGTGCAGATACGCCAACAAGACGCTACCCCATGTCCTGTGTAGCTGCAAGCCCCATTCGAGAGCTTGGCAGCTATGACACAATGCCATCCAAGATTGCCTGGCCAGAGCCATCCCGCCACCTGTGGGGAAGGTTGCCGTAAACTCCACCATCCCCAGAACCGACAACCAACTGTGACTGGACATCATCATCACCAATGAGGACTGGAAGAAGATCATCATGGTGGACATCACAGTGCCGTTTGAGAACAGGACCCCAGCCTTTCACGATGCCCAAGCTCGAAAGGTAGAGAAATATGCCCTTCTGGCCGAAACCTTGAGAGCTCATTGTTACCAGGTCCAGACACGCACTGATCGTCGGAGTCTTAGGTGTATGGGACCCCAGTAATGAGTGAGCGCTGAGAGAATGTGGAATCGGTCAACACTACGCTTGGCTGATGCGGCGACTCATGGTGTCAGACACCATCAGGGGGTCGAGGGACATCTACATAGAACATATCACCAGACATCGGCAATACCAGGAGGAATGAGCTGGAGTGCAGATGAGAAGTGCAGTCAGGAAAGTAACAAATACTTTCCTCATGGATTATATTTTCTAAATGGACAACCAACCTAATTCTCAATTACTGAGGGACAATCTCCATGCATTGATATATTTTGCTTTCCACAACCAAATCTTTGTACAACTTTTCATGAGTGATGTACTCGAGTATTCGGATTCTATTATGTAAACTGAATTGTTAAATCTATTCACCTAAATTTGAGTTATAGCTGATTATGTACTCTATGTATCATAAAACTTTTAAAAACAAACTTTGTATTTGTGGATAATCTAAGCACTCTACTCAGATGTACAGACACTCTTTACTCAACCTATGTATTATATAATTTTTTTAACATTAGTTTTAATACAAATTTTAAATCTGTTCTTATCAGTTTAATTACTGAGGCAGAAAGTATACCTTCTAGAAGACTTGACTTGCTATCTTGAGGAAGACTACCGCTTTGAAGATGGAATCTGCTGCCACGACTTCAAAAGAAAATCTTCATGCTGCTTCAGAGACCCCAGGGGAGACTGAGAAGATGATCGCTCTCTTGCCGATTCCACAAAAACCTGATGCTGCTCCATGGAATGCCTATCGGGTAACAGCCTCTAAGAAGACCCTCAGTGCTTTCAGGGTCTCACAGATGAACAGCATTGATAGGAAAAGCAGCTTGAAGAAAACCTGTGGAGACGCTGCTGCAGGGAGATCTTGCACCTCGAGGATGGCCTTCCAGGACATCACAGCCAGGACAAACATCATCTCGCTTGTCTGATGGGTTTGGTCACAGAGACCCCCTAGGGACTGTCACCTGACATGCTGAAACTACCTCTGAGCCTGTTTTCCCTGTCAGTTTGGGACTCCAGAACCCTGTCTTGTTGATCCAGACATGCAATCCTGCTGCAACACAGACCCAGGGTCTGAACCACATCCCCAAAGCTGCAGGTTTTAACTGAAAACCACTCAGCAGGTACTCCTGTCTCCAGCACCCAGACACCCAGTTCCCAATGGGATCCAAACCCCAAATAAATCTGTTTTACTCTGTATAAAGCTGATACAAGGTAAACTCATAAATTGTCTGCCCTCCATAACACTGATAGAGAGATATGCACAGCTGTTTGCTCCCCCAGGTATTAAGCACTTATTCTGGGTTCAATAATAAAAGTGATTTTATTAAGAATAAAAAGTAGGATTTAAGTGGTTTCAAGTAATAACAGACATAACAAAGTAAGTCACCAAGTAAAATAAAGCAAAAACATGCAGGTCTAAGTCTAATATGTTAAGAAACTGAATACAGGTAAATCTCACCCTCAGAGTTGTTTCAATAAGCTTCTTTCACAGACTAGATGCCTTCTTAGTCTGGGCCCAATCCTCTCCCCAGTACAGTTCTTGTTCTAGCTCAGGTGGTAGGTAGGGGATTTCTCATGACTGCAGCCTCCTTTGTTCTGTTCCACCCCATTTTATGGCTTTGGCACAAGGCGGGAATCCTTTGTCTCTCTCTGGGTCCCCATCCCTCCTTCTAAATGGAAAAGTACCAGATTTAAGATGGATTCCAGTACGAGGTGACATTGTCACATGTCACTGTAAGACCTCATTCTTCATTACCCACAGGCTGGCCCTCAGGTCCACAAGAAGGCTTGTAGGTAAATAAACCATTTACACCCAATTGTCCTAGTCAATGGGAGCCATCAAGATGCTAAGCCACCATTAATTGCCCACACTTTGCATAATTACGATAGGACATCAGAGTAATACTTCATATTTCTAGTTTCAGATACAAGAATGATACATACATACAAATAGGATGAACACACTCAGTAGATCCAGAGATGAAAGTGCAGCAGCGTACCGGCAAGAAAGTGGAATATTCAGTACTGGCAAACTTTCACCTCCTTTGGCTGCATAACAAACAGCTTAAACTCATAGCTAATAAAAGCTTGGAAAGGGGAAACTCACTGTCACATTTGTTTGTTGTTTCTCTCCCTCTCCTCCTCCGGCCCAGCTGCAGAAGGCAGCTAGGTTCTGTGCTTCCTGTGCATGGCACTCTGCAGGGGCTCCCCTCTAGCTTGTGGTGGGGAGCAAGGGGACTGGCTGAGGGAGAAGCCTGCCCAGGACGTCTTCCACCTGCATAATGACTGTTTAAACTCAGCTGTTCCCTCCGTGGTTCAGCCCGTGGGATTAGGGGCCATTTCTGGCATCCTTGTTAATTTCACTCACAGTTGTTGGCGTGTGTGTGATGAAGGCAGGGGCAGTTCTTTTCTGCCCCCTGGATGAGGGAATCTCCAATAGTATAATACACAAAAAATACAATCAAAATCGGGAACCATTTCCAAGTTCAAATCTATCCCATTCCCTCCCCAGCAGATCCTCTTTGAAATGTTACTGTTTCAAAAAAAAACACAAAGAACATGGTGGGAAGATGTGTCATGACGATCAGGGTTTATTTTGGGCAAAGGAATTTTGCTAAAGCAACGAAAGATTCACAGGGAAAGCAAATAGCCCGATAGACAAAACCACAAAGGGATCGGAGGGGAAAACTGGATAGTCAGGGAAATTACTGTGCCTCCTTTGAAAGAAATAATAGTTTTCATTCCACCCTCTTTATATATTGAATTAAACACCTGAAATGTCCTTAGGACATAGGGGCACGATCTCAGATCTCTTCTTGTTTTGTCAGTGTCCTGCAGAGTGCAGAGACTGAAACTGACAAAACTTTCTCTAAGTATCTTCTATATTTCATGAAGGCTGTTCTAGTTGTCCTTCATTCACCCCTGCCTTCTCCCTACTACTAGTCACCCATTGGTGTGCCCCCTGCACCCTTTTATGTGCCTGGAAGGGAGATTAAACAATCCTTGATATCTGACTTTCTAGGAAATAGGGAGGGTCTAGGGCAGGTAGGGCACTGTGCAGCCCCTTGTCCCCCTCCACCTGGCTGGCTGACTGGCTGTGGTTTTTGCCTCGGTTACTTACTCCTTGGCAGGCACAGCCCAGTGGCACCTGCTGGCTCTCTGCAGGCAGCAGCCCGCAGAGGCCGGTTGCTGGGGTCACTGCTGGTAGGCAGCAGGCTTCAGCTGCATTGTTTGTGACACATGCATACACATACTCATACACTCATATTCATACACAACTCGCAGAAGCTACTATATCGCACGCCCTGGTTCTCATGGGTGACTTTAATTTTCCTGATATCTGCTGGGAGAGCAATACAGCAGTGCATAGACAATCCAAGAAGTTTTTGGAAAGCGTAGGGAACAATTTCCTGGTGCAAGTGCTAGAGGAGCCAACTAGGGGGAAGCTTTTCTTGACCTGCTGCTCACAAACTGGGAAGAATTATTGGGGGAAGCAAAAGTGGATGGGAATCTGGGAGGCAGTGACCGTGAGTTGGTTGAGTTCAGGATCCTGACACAGGGAAGAAAAGTAAGCAGCAGGATACGGACCCTGGACTTCAGGAAAGCGGACTTCAACTCCCTCAGGGAACGGATGGGTAGGATCCCCTGGGGGACTAACATGAAGGGGAAAGGAGTCCAGGAGAGCTGACTGTATTTCAAGGAATCCCTGTTGAGGTTACAGGGACAAACCATCCCGATGAGTCGAAAAAATAGTAAATATGGCAGGCGACCAGCTTCTCTTAACGGTGAAATCCTAGCGGATCTTAAGCATAAAAAAGAAGCTTACAAGAAGTGGAAGTTTGGACATATGACCAGGGAAGAGTATAAAAATATTGCTTGGGCATGTAGGAAAGAAATCAGGAAGGCCAAATCGCACCTGGAGCTGCAGCTAGCAAGAGATGTCAAGAGTAACAAGAAGGGTTTCTTCAGGTATGTTGGCAACAAGAAGAAAGCCAAGGAAAGTGTGGGCCCTTACTGAATGAGGGAGGCAACCTAGTGACAGAGGATGTGGAAAAAGCTAATGTACTCAATGCTTTTTTTGCCTCTGTCTTCACTAACAAGGTCAGCTCCCAGACTGCTGCACTGGGCATCACAACATGGGGAGTAGATGGCCAGCCCTCTGTGGAGAAAGAGGTGGTTAGGGACTATTTAGAAAAGCTGGATGTGCACAAGTCCATGGGGCCGGACGAGTTGCATCCGAGAGTGCTAAAGGAATTGGCGGCTGTGATTGCAGAGCCATTGGCCATTATCTTTGAAAACTCGTGGCGAACGGGGGAAGTCCCGGATGACTGGAAAAAGGCTAATGTAGTGCCAATCTTTAAAAAAGGGAAGAAGGAGGATCCTGGGAACTACAGGCCAGTGAGCCTCACTTCAGTCCCCGGAAAAATCATGGAGCAGGTCCTCAAAGAATCAATCCTGAAGCACTTACATGAGAGGAAAGTGATCAGGAACAGTCAGCATGGATTCACCAAGGGAAGGTCATGCCTGACTAATCTAATCGCCTTCTATGATGAGATTACTGGTTCTGTGGATGAAGGGAAAGCAGTGGATGTATTGTTTCTTGACTTTAGCAAAGCTTTTGACACGGTCTCCCACAGTATTCTTGTCAGCAAGTTAAAGAAGTATGGGCTGGATGAATGCACTATAAGGTGGATAGAAAGTTGGCTAGATTGTCGGGCTCAACGGGTAGTGATCAATGGCTCCATGTCTAGTTGGCAGCCGGTGTCAAGTGGAGTGCCCCAGGGGTCGGTCCTGGGGCCGGTTTTGTTCAATATCTTCATAAATGATCTGGAGGATGGTGTGGATTGCACTCTCAGCAAATTTGCGGATGATACTAAACTGGGAGGAGTGGTAGATACGCTGGAGGGCAGGGATAGGATACAGAGGGACCTAGACAAATTGGAGGATTGGGCCAAAAGAAATCTGATGAGGTTCAATAAGGATAAGTGCAGGGTCCTGCACCTAGGACGGAAGAACCCAATGCACCGCTACAGACTAGGGACCGAATGGCTAGGCAGCAGTTCTGCGGAAAAGGACCTAGGGGTGACAGTGGACGAGAAGCTGGATCTGAGTCAGCAGTGTGCCCTTGTTGCCAAGAAGGCCAATGGCATTTTGGGCTGTATAAGTAGGGGCATAGCGGGCAGATTGAGGGACGTGATCGTTCCCCTCTATTCGACATTGGTGAGGCCTCATCTGGAGTACTGTGTCCAGTTTTGGGCCCCACACTACAAGAAGGATGTGGATAAATTGGAGAGAGTCCAGCGAAGGGCAACAAAAATGATTAGGGGTCTGGAACACATGACTTATGAGGCGAGGCTGAGGGAACTGGGATTGTTTAGTCTGCAGAAGAGAAGAATGAGGGGGGATTTGATAGCTGCTTTCAACTACCTGAGAGGTGGTTCCAGAGAGGATGGTTCTAGACTATTCTCAGTGGTAGAAGAGGACAGGACAAGGAGTAATGGTCTCAGGTTGCAGTGGGT